TTTCTACCAGAGCAGAGAGCAATAACTTAAGTCTGCTTATATATTAACGAGCTGGTGTCTTGAATTAACTCAGAGAGCTACAGTACTAGTCAGCCACATTTATTTTACAAAGGGAACTTACATGTAATTGATTAATTTGAGTAAAAATAAACACATTTGAGTTCTATACCATTAAATTCCTTCCCATGATTAGCATCCAGAAAATGTCTTGGATTCTCCAAATTCCAGATGATTTCTCTGATATGCTGCAAAAAAAACCAAACAAAACAAAACAATCAAAAACAAAAAGAAAAATGTTTTCTTGTTCAGACACAATACATGCAGTGACGATTCTGTTTTTAACTATCATAGCAATTGGAATGTCAGACTGTTCAGAGTTATTTATTTTTCTGTAAGATCCCTGAGTTTAAGTACTTTGCATTACTATTACTACTACTTTGCTATATCTTAAATTCAAATGACTTGCACCGCAGTGTCTGGCCTGGGGATGAGTATCAAATCTACTTTCCGTAGCGGGCAGGGTACAAAATCCAAGGCCCTGCCCCCTCGGTACACTTGAAACCAAGATGGTCACCTATAATGGAAAGCACTCGATCTTGACAATCTTACAGAAATATTTGGAAGTACGTATACAATTATTGTAGCATACAGTGTATATTTATTGTATTGGTTACAAGACCCAGAGGCACAAGAAGTTTCCAAAGCTTGGACATTATATTATAACCTGTGGATATAAATGTTTTCAAAAAACTGAGTATCTAGTATTAGCCTTTCCATTCCCAAAAGAACTGTTATCGATCATCATGAGGTTTCGTTTGAATCAAGATAGAATGTCTATGGACTTAATGACAAAATACTTCTGTGTATGACTTATTTGATCACTAGCATGACGCTTTGGAATGCTGATTCCTCAAGTAAACTGAATACTTAAGGAACGCTGAGTTGTCATGTATAGTATATATTGTATGAATAAACCTTTCAGAGTGAAAAGGACATGAAAACTTATCAAACTGAGTTTCTAAGGTCGAGGTAAAACATGAGTTAAAATGATGCACCTGAAGAACAATGTATTATAGTCTCAGGTATTGCACTTGACGTTACCAGCACAATGTTTGTAGTATTAATAAAAAGAACTCACATTTGAAGCGTCAGCAGCCCACTTTCCTTTTGCCATTGTTTTTGCCATTTCCTCAAGGTCAATTAACTTAGTTTGGTCACTGAAAAAAGAAGGCAAAACATTAGTTCATAAACTGTAGGGACAATCAACTTTGGTGATTATGGGACCACTAACATGAGAGGGGGAAAATGTATGGCTACCTGTATTAAAAAAACTACACCTACAAAAGGATATACATGTACGTGAAAAACTTATTCACTACTTACTCTGAGGGTTTGATGCCTCCACGTCTAACTTCGACAAGTCCTTCAGAAACTATGGATTCTGTTACATTCTCAAGTTCTTCACCTACAAAACAAACCCCTTCATTACATTGAGCATACATGTAGTATTGGTGTCTGAGCAAAAATAAAAGGGGAGGCTGAAATACAGTGTGTATATTCATCTCCAAGTTTTCACCTCATGTCCATCGTTTCAGGCACGTAATCTTGGCAATATCATTGGATCAGTTTGGTTAGTCAAATAGAGCTAACATGATGGCAACTGCAGCAGCTATCTTTAAATTTCACTAAAAAAAGTGAACTGCACCATTTCAAACTTCATCTCAATTATTCCAGTAGTTGAATTTGTCAATGCAGGCAAATTTTCCTGGAGAACAATTCTTAAGAACCATACACAGGTTCATCCTGATTTTACCCAGTGCAGACAGCAATTAAATGTGATACCAAACAGTGTGTCAATGCATGGACACCATCGTTGTTTTGGGCATCAAAAAGTTGCTTCATGTTTTATTTCTTGCTACTATGTTGTTATAAGTTATTTAAAGTTGCTTATGCTCCCTATAGCTAGCAGGAACTAATTCACCCCACCATACAGTGCACCCCTAGAAAATCAACACAACAGAATAGCAAAGACCGGGTACGTTATACCATCAATGGCCAGACAAAGCAGATGGCAGAAATAAAGCCTATCTGGAATAAAGCCCTAAGTGGATCTTGATGCAAAGTTTGATTTTCCTTTGTTCACCAGAAAAAGAGGAAATTTAAAAGGGGAAAAGGGAATCAACTACTTAATCGAAATTAAGTCACTTAAAATTATTTCTTAAGGGCTATTATATCCCCGTTGTACTCTTTAATTCAATTATTCTAGATGTATTACTTTAAAAATGTAATTACAAATTATGGCAGTCCTATTAGTAGTCCCTGTGGAAAACTATACGTCTACCTTTTTGTAAATAGATGCAACCATATTCTCGTCCAGTTCCAGGAACTTTGTACTCTACTGAGAATAGAACCTCCTTTCCAATAAGTTTCTTTCTTAGAAACTCCCTGGCCTCCCATGCAAAAGGCTGTCAAGTAAATCAAAGTGATTTATTTTATTATTAGTCTCACTTGCTTTAGCTGCGAGACTCTAAAAATGCAAGCTTTTCTTTTTCTTTTTTTCTTGTGTATGTGCCAAAAGGGGGCCTGAACAAAAAAAAACAAGCCAACAAACAAACCAAAAAAATTGTATAATTATAGTAACTGTAGGATCTGTCCCTCTGATTTAGATATCCATATACAGTGTATATAATTTTGTTGAATAAAGAACACAAAATATTTCCCCTTCCCATTCACTATATTTATATTCTACTTCATAGTCATCACCATTATCATCATCATTGATTTACTCAGACATGAAACACTATAATAGCGTTTTTGCACTTCAGACTTACAGAAAACGGACCATTACAGGAATTTTCGAAAAATTCACTCTGACAGTATTTAATCTACATGTAGTCTCTAAAATCAAAATCGATGTGCAAGTGCCCAACGCAAGGTGCATGTCGCTAAAAGACTGAGCCTTTACAAGTACATCCACATGGTATTCATAGATCATGTACACCAGCATTAACATATGCTGTTCCTAGAGAAATACAACATCAAAACACTCCCTTCGTAACAGTCAGCCTGTAAAATTCTTGTTGAAACATTGTGTTTAAAAAGAAAAAAGTAATAAGAGCCTGGGGAGTACTTTAATATTAGACTAACTTTTTATTTTGAAGTTCAAGGTAGTTTTGCTGCTATAGCATACATTAGGGCAGCATGAGGATTTTGCTACATTGCATTCAGTGGTTCCACCACACCAAGAAAAAGCCATGCATCGGCAATTCCCCTGGACACCACAGTCACTAGACAGTCATCTGTTTGACCGATAGCCATTTTGGTTAAATGCAGTAATTTTTTTTACGATTTTTTTTTCAAATGATAATGTGACGTATTAACTTAAGTACACTTTTTTCAGCATGATACAGTATAACAAGCCATATTACAGAAAATTAATAAAGGATTCACCAGTGACTTAGAGGCCACTTATTCTGTCCTACATGTATACATATTACATAAATCTGAAACTCTGGTACATGATACATGATACATGGGGCATTTTAATGGCTCAAAAATCAGTTGTCTTCCTGTTATCGTGCAATATGTAATAACTTTTTTTTTCTCTAAGGAAGCTAATAAAACGAAAGTTAATTTGCAAAACTTCCTCCAGTCTGTGGTCACAGTAATCAATCAAATTAAATTATAAATTTCCTATTACACTTAAACTATAAGTTCTTATTAAGCCCTGTAACAACGCAAAACAGCAAGTTGTACAGGCGAAAAAACTAAAAAATTTTTCTTCAAGAGCGTTTTCACTAGCACCCCGCACGTGTAAATGCTGATGACCTTCAAAACAATAATAGCGATAGTTCCTCGTTCTTGCTTTTTCTTCCGAAAAACATTAAAGAGTATTTTACATTTACATATATTGGTAATACTTCCACAAGTATTGCCTTATATTTTAGTTGAGAAATGAGAAATAGATTTGATGTTTTTCCTGGTAGCAGTAAAAGACTGAGGCACGTAACCGAATGCTATTGGTCAAAATGGAGTGACTGAAGTCATTGCTAAGAAATGAACAAAACACGAATTTCGAAACCATCAAGAAATCACCAAATTATTCAATTCTCTGTACGTTATCGTGATCTAAAAGTTAAAGATTTTAGATTGTAAGAAGCCATTAAAAAGGACAGAAGCAAACCCAAGGCAAAAAAATTTCAAACAATGTAGTATATGTACACTGTAATATGTAACCATACAAAACCTCGTCACGCGTCTCCACGCTGCCCTCTACGTTAGGATTTGATCTTCGGGCGAGTTTTGGTGCGTTCACGTTGGACAAACAAAGTTGTCTCTCTGGTGGCGGGCCACCTCGGGGTTGGCCACGTATTATTACGCTATCTCCTGAAAGAACCTGTGTGAAAACAGAAACAGGATAGGTTTATACTCTTTATTCTATAAAGTTGACTTTGAATGCCGTGACCCGAGATTTTCCGATGTAAAACGTGGCATTCCAAAGCGAATACACGACATCAAAAAGGTTTTACGAGACGAATTATAACGCATACGATTAGTATTACCTGTTTGACGATTCCGCGATTCATCTGTGGTGACTGAGCCATTATTTTCCTAGTAAAGAACCTAAACTCGCCACAATTCAAAAGTAAAAGGAAAGAACCTTTTTACGGGGGACTACTATATTTGGAGTTCACGTGACGTCAGAACATTCCCGGAAGTAGAACTTCCTCCGAAGATCTAGCGGAACTATCCGATGACTAGCTTCATGCTGTTAATTAAAAAAACTCATGCAATAAACTGGAGAAGAAAAATATAATATATCTCTAAAGTATATAAATAAAAAAGGGAAGTATAAAATATTGCTTACGTACAACGTCTTAACAACATTTTGACAAAACGAAGAAAGGCCGGAATCCACCGGAAATATTGCTTTCCTTCTCTCTTGGGTAAGACAACTGACCAAACTATGAGAGCCGATCATCGCCGGCAACGGAAGTGAGATGGAGATGGCAATGTCGTTTGTAAGGTTCTTCGTGTCTTTGATAATTATTTCAAATGCAGGAAAAGAACATATTGTTTCTTGTAATGGAGGCGATTTAGTATTATCAGACTTCTACAATGAAACGGCCATTAGTCGCATAGCATTTGGAAGTTGCAGGTAATTTTTGTTACATTATGGCGTCACCAGCCAAAATGATCCCTGATGTGCTTTTTGCATACCGTGAGTAAACTTTGTTTCCCGCTGTTATGGACGATAATTTATAAGATGCGTATCCTAAACAAAGATATTTAGGCTGAACATATACTTCGAAAGCGACGATATTGATTTTGCTTGAACCTTTCCAGCACGAACAGAAGTGTGTATGAGATGTCAAATTTAATATTTGCGACTGTAATAAATGAATTTTTTCAACATTAGCTTGAAATAAATAAAAAGAAACTTTATTAGCTTCTAACATATGGTCTACTTTTCCTTTGTAGTTTTCCTAAGAAACCCCAGCCACTGTGGGAACATATCTCTTTCCAACAACCTGATTTATGGGTTTGGCTAGGCGATGGTATGTCTTGAAATTTACTGTATCCAATTTTATGACAACAGGCTGGGTTGTTGATGTGAAAATATGCACGTGACAGGAAGCCCGTGGGGGGTGAGGGAGGTATTCCTGGGGCTAAGATGATGGGAAAGTACAAGTGGGGTCAAAAATTGTCACCCTAAAGATCCCTTGAGTTTAATTTCTCTTGAGTGTGAAGTAAAGCTTTCTCACCCCATCCCCCACCCCCTCAACATCCCCAAAAATGTCATGCTGAATTTTTAAACTTTTTTTGAAGAAAATAATCTGCCCAGCAGGGTACTGATGTCATAGCTAGAAACGTTTTATTAACCGTTTATACATTTCTTAAAGATGTTACTTGAGAACATACGTACATACTTTAATTGAAAGGTCAATAGTAGGTAATATTATTGCTGCTTTAAGTTGAGGTAGAATGCATGATTGACGGGTAGTTTATTTTATGGCTTGCCATTCTATGTATGTATTTAGGTTTTTGCTTTATTCCATTTATAGCCTTACCTTTCTCTTGTGTTCACAAATTCAGTGACTCGTCAAGCTCCTTGACTGTAGTATCCTGACATTAATAACACATCTGATACATGTATAACTTGAGCAATTCATTATTTTTGTCTAATCTGAAAATCCTTCCAGTGAGAATATTCATAATGGTTTTGTTAACTTGTCAAAGCTTTGATCGATCTTAGCCCAAGAAATATGCTTTGCTAACCAGGGGTGAGAGAGCTTCCAGTTTCTTGCTTACAATACATTGTGCTTCTAAGAAAGATTGTAACACACAAGGCATAACACAGTATAATATATGCAATATAATTTCACGTGGATTGACTTTTCCTTGTGATAAATGGATGCTTAAATAATGATTATTTAAGTGCTTTGTCATTAATGCGTAAAGAGCATTATCTCTGACTAATGTTCTCATGACTTCATTTTAAATGTATAACATTGATGTACAATATGTATACTTATATCTAATTTCTCTTTGTAGCTGTTTATGCTGACACCAAAATATTGCCCCTTGTGTGGACTCCATCACCTCTCGGTGAAATGGTAGACAAGTTTAATGCCTTAAAGTATTCTTTGGCATATCAGGTTTGATTTTTTGTCAGATCTTTTTCCAGTAAAAGTAAACTATATGTGAACACCTTAAATTCATGTCATGAGTGGAAAAAAAAAAGTAAAAAAAAAAATTTCCTTTCCTTTCACTTCTTCATGTTGTTTACCAATAGTCTAGTAATAACCATTTTTTTGCCAATTTTGATTTTACTGTATCTTAGTTGTAACTCTTTCTTCATTTGTCTAATGTGATATCTAGCATTAATTAAGGATCCGAAGCCTCATGACTTCTTTAGGCTTTGATTCCTTGCTCAGTAATTTTTGCATTTTTTACTTCTGTATACAATTCGGCATATTTCATGGCAAATAAAGAAAAAAATTGCTATACATTTTAAGCTTCCAAGTGACTGCTCTGCTTCAGTCAAACGATTGGCCACTCCACATCATTAGAAAAATTATGTTTAGCAGAACTCTGATTTTTCCTGTCTACAGTACAGTAACTATTAAGAGAGACAAGGATTTCTTTAAGTCCTTGATCTTCATGGACAAGTCTAATTTCTTACAAATTTCTCTAACCAAAAATAAAATTAATATGGATCTTTGATGTATAACAGACATAATCAACCCAGTGCACAACCTCGCTATTAACTGGCTGATAAAGATAGACAGGAGTGGAGTCAAAGGTCTTATTTTTTATTTTAGTGGGCTTTAATTTAAGGATTGCATTTAGTTTCTTACTTTTGTTTTGTTTTTTTTTTACATTTAGAAATTCCTCAGAAGTGGAGTTCAGGTCTTAGGTGTATGGGATGACCACGATTATGGAAGTAATGATGGGGGGAAGGTATAATTGTTTTTCCATTTAAAGAGAAAATAACTTCAGATTATGGGACCAGACTTTGTTTTCCAAGTCAATAAAACATGATAAAAAAGAGAGAGAAGACTGAGGAAAGACATTTTTTGAAAACTTATAAAAGAGAGATGGTAAAATGGTCAAAATGTTTAAGAAGGACTCCAGAGGCCATTATAAACCTTTAATATCTTTTCTATCTAGCAGACTAACTGATCACTTATTTTCAGTAGCTTATGTCTGAGGTATATTTAACTCATATGTAGTGTCAATATGCCAATTTATTATTATTAGCAGCAAAGATAAGGAAAATCTTGATTGGAGTAAATAAACTGATGACAAAATAGCAAAAGTGCAAGAACATTTTATGATCTTGAAGTTTACTGTATAATTAATAAGATTTTAGGAAATTTGCAAGATTTTGCCTCATCCACCCCTACCCCCCTTCCTTCAAGAAAAAGAAAAGTTCGTGCTTTGTTTAAGTGTGCATGGCCACTGAAGGGTTAAGCAATTGGTTTGATATGTTTTCTTTACAATTGCAGCATTACAAAGATCGTCTCCAGGCTCAAGGAATTTACTTAGATTTCTTAGATGAACCAATAGAAAGCTTGCGTAGGAAACGCGAAGGTGCTTATGCCTCCTACATCTATGGTCATGGCAATAAGAAAGTCAAGGTAATTCTTGCGTTCTACAGTATTGTTTGCTAGTGAAGGTGTTCCAGACAATGATTATACATAAGGACAGTTCAAGGCTGGAATTGTGGCAAAAGACAGAACTTTCCTAAATTATTGTTTTAATACAGATGTGATCTAAACTGGAGGGTTGTCTTTGCGTCGTGAATTATGGCCCAGGAATCACTTTTTCTATTGTCTGTTTGTTTGTTTATTTTTTCTTTTAACTATCCAATTTTCCAGATGTTGCAGAATTAAAATTTCTACACGATCAAATACCCACGGAATGCTTTTTAGGTTTTCAGAGGGCCCGCGGCTGTTACCACTCTCTAAAGGCTTCTTAAGCGGCCCCAAGAGGGTCTGGAAGGAAGACTACCCCCATTGAAAAATATTGCTTTAAAGTTTCCATTAAACTGACTATAACTAGATTTATCGTACTAGCGGAAAAATGTGTAAATTCAAATCAGCTGGTTAACAGAATGAGTTATCTTGTCACATTACCGCTAGCATTTCCCTTTTAAAAATCCCCAAGTTTGTAAGCGTTTTCCTATAGGAATGAGGCCTATTAATAGGGAAACTAAGAAAATAAAAACAGGCAGAAAAGTAATAGCATACCAAGACCAGAAAAGCTGTATTTTCACACCAGGAACGAAAGCAAACTTGCGTAGTTTCGGTCGAGGCGGAGTTAAGATTCGGATAGTTATTATTGTTTTTTTTTGTGTGAGTGTTTATGTTAAATGACGACTCGTGACTGATACGAAAACCACTCAAGTACATGTAGCTTCAAAGAGCGCTTTTCGGCGACAAGTCCAGAGGCGAAAGCGTTACTAAATACATTTCTACAGTGCCAGTGGAACGTTGATATATTAAAACGAAGGACCATGGGACTAGCGAAATATGTTCGCTATAACGAGGTTTCGTCATGGCGGAGCTCTCAGCGCGCAGGGGAGAAACATGGGTAAAAAAAATTGGACAAAATCGTCCTAAACTGCTTGCAATACGCCTTTTCTCTTAAAATCTGTCTATTTCGTGATCTCAGCCAGCGCGATTGCAAACTCTCGCGGCAAGTGGCTTCGCCGCTCGCGTGCTTCGGTTTTGCGTGTAGCAACTTTGCAAAGAAAAATAAGAGACTGCTCGCAGTCTAAAATCGTCTATACGTACGTACTTACGTCCACCCCTGCATGTAAGCCGGGGTAAAATTTCGCATTTCAAGCACCCGCGCGTTTCGGCGGTAAATCGCATGGCCACGCGGAGATTGTGAGAAACAACAGCAAACTCGAGTCTTTCTTTCGACTTAAAATTTTAAAGTCTACATTTACGTGGATAACAGAGAAAGAGCTAGAGCTAGAGCCAGAGATAAAAACAAAGGGCTCCAATTTCGTTCGAAGAGAAACATGAAAATTTTATAGCGGCGGTGAGAAAATAAGAAATGCTGGCGGCCACTGACCAAGGTGAAAATGAGCGGCAGTGAAATAAATGGGAACAGGAACATTTCTTCCATAAAACGTCCAACTAGGAAGTTCCTGCAAGTTTCACGCTGTAGTCAAGCAAAACAACGCCAAAGAAATGTACAAAAATATTTTGCTGTACGTGCAAAGTTGTGTTTTTACTAATTATGCCTGCGGATATTTTTGCTGTTCTTTTTGCCTTCGCCGTTTGGCATTACCTGATTTTATATTTTGTTTGAAAAACAATAAATATTAACGAGTGCTTCGCTTTTAGCCCTGGCTAAATGTATTTAGTAAAATCCAACTAGTGGTCTATTATCAATGCTGCGTTCTGATTGGTTGACCTACTACCAGGCTATATGTTATAGCCCCCTAGAAGAGAAAAGCGCACGTTTTTTTGCGGCAAAAAAGGATTAAAGTCTAGCTTTAACTAGCTAATTTTTTTTATTCTTGATATTTTTGACAACTAGTTGGATTTTACTAAAACAATTATTCCTCTCGCCCTCATGGGCTCTGAGTCAACAGCCCATTCGGCCTTCGGCCTCATGGGCTATTGACTCAGAGCCCATTCGGGCTCAAGGAATATTTGTTAAATATTATCAGTTATTCCAGGTTCTTTTCCATACATTTTACCATTACTGGGGGAAAAAAATTGTTCGTTATTCTGAGTACATAGAGGCTCTGTCCCTCGGAATTTCCATTAGTCTAATCTACCGCCGAAGACTGTAAGATAATTCACCACAACTAACATAAACCCACCATAGTGATTGTTGCATTATTTTTCCTTTAGATAATCCTACTGGACACCCGATCACATCTCAGGTGGGGATCAGATTGTGACATCCTTGGAAGAGACCAGTGGGAGTGGCTTGAAAAACAACTAAGTGAATCCAACACAGCTCAATTGACAATTATTGGGAGTGGAATACAGGTGTGAAATCTTCCTTGTAAGTGGGCTCCACTACTCCTTAGAAAACTACCAGACCCTTGCTGGTTGTTTTGGGCCCAAGATTTATAGTCAGAGCTAGGACAGAAGATGAGTAGAGTAGCCTGTAGAGTAGCCTGTAGGCAAGCTCTCTATTTATGGCGAAATGGTGCTAAGAAAGTCAGTTTTAGAGCTTGCCAAGCTGTAGCTAGCATGTACTACCCCCCAAAGTAATTTGAACTAGCGCGAAGAGAGCCGCAAGAGAACGCGCCCTCGCACTCGCTCCTCCTTTCGCGTGCTCTTCACGCGTGACTGCCCAAATGGAGAAATCTCGTTCTCTTTTTTGACGCCAATTTTTTCCCCAGGGGCTTTCTCTCGGTCAAGCCGAACTGGTATCAAATTGAAACTCAGCCAGGAGCCCAACATTATATCACATTCATGAATGACCAAGCAGTAAAATCACTTACCCATTCCCTTTTCTGTCGGGCGCACTTCTAATCTGTTGCGGGCGATCAGAGGATCTCGCAATCCTAATCTCCGGGTTGCTATAACGCATGCGCGGGACGTTTGTAAATTCGCCCTTATAAAAACGAGAAGGAAACTGGGCCGAGTTAGGTTTTGCAAAGACTTCTGGGATCTTTTCTGGGACGCGCCGGTCAGCTATTGGCCAATTTTTTTGCCCTGTGCCCAGTAATATCCCAGAAGTCCTTGCACAAGATAACTCGGGACAGTTTCTGTTTCGTTTCTAAAAAGCCAGGCCCGGGTTGTTCAAACGTTGGATAGCGCTAAATAACCTTCCAGCGGATAAGTATTAGGGAAACCAATTGCGCTATCCACTGGATAGAGATTTATCCAGAGGATAGCGCTATTTATCTTTCGAGCAACTGGGCCCAGTAGTATACGTTTGCACTTCCACCAAAATGAATCGAATACACAGAACGCAATCTGATCTTGTGTGTTTGGACCTTCCGTCACTAGTAATCTGATCACAAGTGTTTTGACCTTCTATTAAGTGAAACCTACGCAAAGCACAGCGTTAAAGCAAGAGCGTTTGACCTTCAATTAACATTACCGGTCCTCCCTAACCTTTCCTAACCTTGGTTATTACTAGTAATTCCATCTACAAAATAATTCTACCGATTATGGACACATGTAAGTGTTTTATCCTAGGTGTTGTCAGACATGCCCTTCACTGACAAGTGGACCAGTTGTCCGTCAAGCTACGACCGTTTGATGTGGCTCGTACAAAAAAATTCCAGAGTGAGTAAAATTTGAATCTTTAGCTCGAAAACAGGATGGCATTGACAGAGATGTCCTTCAAGCGTTTAATTCTGTGATAACAAAGCTACCTCTTTCTTGTAGGTTATTTTCATAAGTGGTGATGTTCACTTTGGAGAATTCGCTTGCTTAAATAACACCAGTACAGGTTGGTCAGGCATTTGTAAGTAAAGTAAGTAAAACAGCAAAACGTGCGTGATGAAGGGTCTGGAAGGGTATTGCCGGGATTCGGGAAAAGTTACTGGGATACAGGATTTGATAGCCTGCGAGCAAGCTCTCCAGTCGGGAGAGCTCTTGCGGCACGTCTCTGGAATTTGAATATCTGCATCAAAAAAGTCGATGCGAAATGCTGATTGGCGGAGATGACATTAGCAATGACGTCATTACCCTTGGCACGGGTTTTCAATGTTTGTTTACATTCGCGCTTGTCTCCGCTTCGCGTTGATTGGCGAAAATAAGACGGCTAAGTCGACGGGGAGCCACAGTGGAATTGGAGGTGGAATTCAAATTCCAGAGACGTACTTGCAAGCTCTCCTTTCTTTTCCCGCCTCGCCGTCCGAGCGCTCCAGAGAACTTGCTCGCAGGCTAAGGATTTGACTGCTACCCGAGAAGCGGGATTCGCCAAAATCGGGGAAGGATACGGTATTTGGAGGATAGCGATGACAGAAGTTTGTTGTGAAAAACAGAGGAAATGCTGAATCAGCCCCCTCTCCCCCCCCCCCCACTAATAAAAAGGTTCGTCTAACGACAGCCACTTTGATATTTAGCCTCAATACGAGCAGTCTCTTCCTTCCCTTATATTCTCTAAAAGACAGAAAGAGCCGAACCAAGTGAGCTACGAGCCGCGAAGCCGCGAGACGCCAAAATCATTCTCGGCCTGTCACTCATGCCATTCAGCAGGCTACGAATATCGCAGCAGCGGTGGGGGGCGGGGGGGGGGGGGGGAGACGGTTATTGGTACTAGCGATCAAGTTTTGGTTTGGTGAAAAGGTAAACATCAGGGAAACTGGAAAAAAAAAGAAGGAAAAACTGAAATAGAAAAAAGGCCCATCCACACAAGACAATTAACACCAGTTAATCTTGGTATTGATGATCTGTGGTTTTCTACATCACGGTGATGTACCAATGTCACTTCCTACACCATCAAAATCTCTTTGAAGAACTTTCTTTTTCTCAACCGTTTTGACTCTTAACAGGATATCCTGTATATGAAATAACCTCTAGTGGCTTAACAGGCACTTGTGTAACATGGATTACAACCGATATGTGTCGCTGGCTTCTAACGTAAGTACATAAAGTCGGTATACGCAATCGTAAGACTTGAACAGTATTTAAAGCACGATAGCTTATAGTCAATAATATAATTATTCCCAACCGCTTAAAAAAGAAAAAGGAAAAAAAACTGATCCTCAAGTAAAACTTGAAATCTGTTTTGTTCCCCGATTTTGAGTCCGTTTTGATAGTGTGTAACGAATTTTTGTTGATTTTAGCAACCTTGAAGGTTATTTCCTACACATACACAGGGCCTTTGTATTACTAGACAAGACTATTACAATGAGGTCCTGTTGTCGACTGAGATTTTCACCAAACCTGTGAGTCACGCGATAAGGAATTAACGAAACATTTAGAATTTCATTCACTTTGTGAGTGAAAAAGGTGTGTTTTCAACAGCTTTGGCAAGTATTTTTTGAACCAACAGACAGCTGAATAGATATAAAATATTTGTGTGACTAACAAAATTCATGACCTGTGCGGAACCTGCACGGGAATTGTCTCTCTTACTTTAATAATTTCTAATATCTCTGTGTAAGCGTTGGTGGTATAGTGGTGAGCATAGCTGCCTTCCAAGCAGTTGACCCGGGTTCGATTCCCGGCCAACGCACACTTCTTTTCCATTCTGTAATTTTTTTTTTCCTTTATGTTTCTTTAAAAGGAAAAAGATTCACTCAACGATATTCTTATGCGTACAGTTAATTTTTATTTTCTTTTAGGCTAAAAAACGTACGAAGCAGACCAAGTTCTGTTCAGTTGTAAATGACTTTCAGAATCAAATTTTTTCGTACATTATAATTAATACTTTTGCGGAGAAACAATTTTATGGTCGATAGATGAAGATATTACAATGTGTTGCTTACCCACTGGCAACTGCGGAAGGCTTGAAATCGAAACAATTATTCCACCGGAACTAGTAGGTCAACTGAAATATTTTTGCTCGTTTGATATCAAAGATGGCCTGTTCACAGACCCTCTATTTTCTCTTCAAAGTCCGTTGAGCTCGCGTGATAAAAATTAAACCGCGGTTTTCTAAAAGAATGAAAAGAAAAATAAAACAACGTCTGTGTACAGGCTATATCAAAGATTGCTGACATTGCAGTTCCAAAACATTTGTTTCTAATCATTTAACTGAACCGTTTCATAAGCTACCATATCGCAACAGCCAGGGTTTTTCGATTTTGTAAGGTCAATTTTTTGCGACCACTTGCAAGTGTGGAGCGCTTCTGTAGTTTAGAGCGGTTTATTGCCTTTAAAGATGAAGCACTAGAGTTGGGGCTGAGATCAGACCAATAAGATTTTAAAACATCGTTAAGGTTATATGAAATCAATGATTAGCCTGAATTTCATCCGATAACTTCTAGTCGTTAGTACTCCCTCAGTAACTGCTGAGAGGAGAAAACGGCTCGAAGCAATCGGATGAAATTCAGGCTAATAGCTGCTAATCAGTGATCGTCTCGAACTTAATCGGGATCTGATTTCCTAAAAGAAAATTTTAGAGCAAGTTTTCATAAGTTGCCAATCGGGAAAACGCTTTAAGTCAATAGCTAAGCTCTCGAAGCAAAAGGGAGGGGATGAGGGAGAGAGAGAGAATTCTTCAGCCATCGAGCGAGTTGAGAGCTTTCTGCGGCACTCGTCACTCTTCTAACCTTTCTTTTTATCATTATTTTGACGATAGGAATATCGGTCATTCGTCGAAACGTCTTCAACCATTCATCACAGAAATGAACTATGGGTTGATAACAATTCACTGGGACACACAACCGGTATGTAATGACTCTGGGTAGTTTTTAGTGTGGCTTCGAAAGTAATCGCCACGCTTAGTATCTGATTTGTTAAACTTCTCTTGCCACTTCATCGGACAATCGAGGCTAAACCAAAAGTAACTTCCCTCTCTACGCGGTGTTTTCCCGCCTAAAGTGCTTACTACATGCACTTGCTTCCAGTTTTGATCGCATGGTTCATTTGCTCGCTGTCATTGTTAGTCAACAAACAGATGACAATTTTCCACGGTCGACACTCCTGGGAATTTTCTTAGAAAATCGAAAAAACAAAACAAAAACTATTGCGCCATGCATCTCTGGGCGCCAGTATTTCCGTAGGTACAACTTCCATCTTTGAATCTCTTAGTCTTAAACTAGTTTATCTTTTTAGGTAAAACCATTATAACAGCTGAATGAATTACACATAGACTAAACTTTATTATGCTATTGACTATTTTCGAATTCCCCATAATACACTCTGTTTGCCCCCCAAATTTGCATAAACCATTGTTTTTAAATGCTCCTGGGAATATTGCATTTTCCCAAGAGCATTTTAAGACAATAAGTTATGCAAAATTTGGGGGGCAGACATTATGGACACATTATGGGGAATTCGAAAATAGTCAATTAGTTTTTGGGCGATCGGAATAAATATCACGTGACAATGACGACACAATAGTTTTAGCTCTAAATCAAATTACAGACCTTATCGGCATTTTCTTTCGAAATGCTTGACGCTACCTGTAGTGCGAAGTTTCACAAAAATATAAAAATCTATAAGAGAAATTTCCAGCTATCATGGAATTTCTACAAAAAGGGATAAATTGTGCATGAACTGAAGGCTGGACTTAAGGCAGACAAATTTGCTACTTTTTGGTTGTTTCCGAAAAGTTTTTATCACTCATTCGTTTTGTTAATACACTCTACAACGGGCTAAACGCAAGTAGACTTGCGCGATTTAGAAAAACACGAAAACATGTGAATCAGGGTAAAACGCAATGCTGAGTCTTTTTGTAATTTCAAAGGCTACTTTCACGAAAACAGCGATTAAAACAAAATTCGTCGATAGATTTCGTTATAAAACCTCAGTGCTGCAGTTGATCAATGTACTGTAAAATCCCCGAATTTCGTATCCACCACCATACAAACGTCTGTATTGTACAGCAATATCTCCGCACACTATGGAAGTATCACCTTTAAACTTGGTAAGTTAACTAATCTCAAGGCCGGGGCTCTCTTCCCAGCACTGCCGATGGGTATTCGTTTACTTGTCTTTATAAAAACTTTAAAAAAAAAAGAAAGAAAAAACCATGGACGAGGCTACTCTGATCCGCTAGAGGATCGCTAGGCTGAGATATTTTTACCTACCACAAGCTTGTCAAAACAATACAAAAAACGCCTTCGTTGATCTCTTTGGGTTCAATGTTTTCTCACGTAGGTTAGCGTTACGGTGGAGGTACGCGGTGAGGCCGGAAGTTATCTCAAGCAAACTATATCATTAGATCAGTTAGAAAAAGTAAGTATGCCCCAGATTTCTTTTTCTTTGCGCTTAGTGTGACAACAGGCCATTTTCAAGAAAGTTCAAGAACTCTCACTTAAAAAGTGGCACTAAGCGCAAAACCTTTCTTATGAAAATGAGCTTCATTTTCTTACCAATGGCACTTAGCCTCGTTTTGAGACAGAGGCTTGCACCAGTCGGAAATGGCCAATTGGCGTTTTATATTTTGAAATATTGAAGCGGCAGAAGAAGCTTCAAACTAAGCTTAACGTTTACATAGGCAACTGTACCCATTACCTATTTACTGTCAAGATGTGATTAGTATTTTATGAACCTTTGTTATTTTTTAAGACCAGGAATCTTAACAGATGTCCACAAAAAATAGAAGAGCCCCCAGTGGTCAAGAAAGTAACTTTCTACACTGGAGTGTTTCTACTTTTGTCGATTGTATTTATAGCACTTTTGAGGTAAGCATTTTTTTTTAATTTATGGCGTTATTTTTTAAAACACTGGGCAAGCTCAGAACAAAAGAAAGCATGCAAATGTTGCAAGAGCCTGTTGAAATAATGTTGTTATAGTTTGTCTGGTGGTAATGTTTATCAAAAACGTGTTACCTTTTTTCGTGCACACAAAAGCCTATAGTGTGTTTCTACCCTCCAATCAATGATTGTTGAGTCGTTTATAACAAATGCAATCCACCCGTACGATTTTGTATCGGCTTTTTCCAACTCACTTTGTTCTTTGCTCTCTTTATAGGTTATTGGCCTTCATCGCCAAAAGAGTCTTTAAAATTGTGCTGTGTTTGCTGGGAATAACTGTTAAAAACGCTGCAGGTGGCTCGGAGTACGTTAATTACAAGAACAAGATTATCAAAAGAGACTAACTTAAAACAGTTTAAGCCCTATTATAGGAAGATAATTTGCAATTATTGGAAGACGTTTTTAGTAGTAAGAATTATAAAGGTGTTGGGAAAAATTAATTTTGGATAATATCATCACTGGCGTCTCATAATAAACAATGCGCAGAGCATGACGGGAAGTGACAAAGGATCTTTTAGATAGACCGCTTTATATAAACGGCAATGAAATACCAGTTGAGCTTTTGCGCGAAAACTTGATATCTTCACATGTGAAAATATCACCGTTGCTATGGCTACATAATAGATCGCGCCTTTCACACCAAAAAATTATTAAAGCGAAATGGTTTGGTATTTCGCTGCGCTCACTCGTGAAATATTTTTCAACACTCGAAGAGAAATTTCGTATCTCCGCCCGGCCATGTAATATCCTCTATTTATTAAAGGCCTGATGCAAACGCAAGCATGGCCCTTTCATTTACCGTAAAAACCACCTAGATGCAAGTTTAGTTTCTAAAAGGAAGTATAAGGATTAAGAATCTGATGTTTCCTTTCCTTTCGATGGTGCTGATGTTTGTTTCCTACTTGACGCGTGACCCTCACCCCTGCCTGCCCCTGCATGCGCTTACCTAACCGTTGCCTGCGTGCAGACGTGCACAAAGGAAATAGGGGACGTCTGCACGCAGGCAAACCTAACCGTGCGTCTAAATGGCTCGTTCAAAGCAAGGCTTGTATTCGACGAAGCAGGTTTCTGTCATCTCGTCGTATAAGCTGCAAAATCGACTCAGTTACATTTGCGGCTACATAACGTAAGTTTTGCGCGTTACAGATTGAAGCAGCTGGCTACAATCGGCCCTTGTTCGTCAAACAGCTAAGAGAATGAACTGTCTTTAACATATTTATTAACGATCCGCTTGAAGAATATTCACTTGTTATATAGAATTCTTTTTGTAATGGCTAATAAAACTTTTGCTTAAAGTTAAATTTCAATACAGCGAGTTATTTAATGCATTGGGAGTGATGTCTTTAGGGTAACTCTACGGTACGCCAGGTTGGTATTTAGAGACTGAAGAAATTCCTTCAACGACCAACGGAAGAAATTACTTACGGACCATTAATAAACTTCTATGGACTTCTATGAAAAAAAAAAGCAAGGTTTTGTGATATTAGTATCAGCCTTTCTATGTATAATTTTTAACTTATCCTCTTGCTTGGACAACGATAACTGGAGGACCAAGCTGACGACCGCCACGAGAATGCTAGGCTGAGCTAACTTCCTGGTCGACGAGAACAACTGATAACTCGTTATCAGAAGTACGGAGCTTACGATACTACAAGGAAAGCAGCCACGACGGCGAAGGAAAAATAGTCTTATAGATCTGGTAAAGTCATTGAAAATTAAACATAATTTTCAACAAAGATAAGAAGACCGGAAATTTTTCTATAGTCAAGTGCTCGCTACCTGATCCCGGTGGAAGATAAGAGCGCTTGACAAAATCCTGTATTGTTCATTTTTTAGTTCAACTTTGCATCTTTGCCTTTCGAATGATCCCAAATATGATGAATTCATGATCATTAATTGCCGGCACCACATTTTCTTATCCCGCAGTTTCTTTCTATCTGTGGTATTTGCCGAGTCCCTCTACGGCGTGTTCGCAGTCCCTCGGTGAATCCTAGGACCAGGCAAGTATTTGAGAGAGTTGCCGTGGACTTATGACTTATTCGGCTCTGGTAACTCTTTTTTTTTTTCGATTCCATATTTCAGATATTTCAACATTTAAACAACGAAATTAACGAATACCAATCTTTTCCCCTATTCAATGGACTGGCACTAAAACTGTGTCTGCCATAGACATATGCGCTCTTAATGAGAAATGAAAGGATTCGACTGAAGAAAGAACTGAACCAACTAGTGTTATAAAGTATCCGTTTTATTATGCAAGTGTCTGTTAAGAGCAGTGATTTTAAAAAATCAAAACTGTTTATAATCACTTGCTATTTACAATTGGCATGAGGCGGTCCTGGCAATTTCGCTTGGCTTTGAAAGGAACTGTATATTTTACTTGTCGGGATTAAAATTAAACTCAGATTCCATTTTATTAAAAACAAACAATTAAAATTCCAAGGTAAAGACAGATGGGTTTGATTTACTTATAACAACCGATAATGACAACACACTCATATTTTATTTTGTTAATTTTTCACCTGTCTTATGGACGTCTAATTTCGTATCAGGTATTTAGATGAGGGTGGTAAAAGAGTCTTGTAGGTGGTCAAACGTTTCAATGGAAGGATGATTCAGAAACTGACGACACGTATCTTTAAAACAAGTGCGACCTACCAGTATTGCTTTGGCATAAATGTGAATACGAATAACAACTTATTAAATCAATATTCAGCTGTATAAATTCGATGAATTAACGGACCGGTCAATAAATAAACAGAATATCTTGGCTAAATCTAATATATCAGAAATGCTGAACCGTGTAAAGAGCAACTCAAACAGCAATTATGCTGGTATTGATATTGCTTTTTAATAAAAAGAAAAATAGTTAAATTGGAGATGTTATAAGGTATAAAGACAGAAAAAAGAGAGCTTAATTCATTACAAACCGACACAGAAAGAAGCTTGGACTTAGTACCGAAGAACGACCGGGCGAAGCAAGAATGAAAACCTTTGTTGTGTTCTGCCTCTTGATGACCTTCGTTATGGTTTCTCAGGGCCAACCAGAAGCAACTGAGATGGATGAAGCTGAACTGGCCAACATGCCTGAACTCATGAGCGCCCCCGAAGCTGCAGACGAGGCAGTAGAGGATAGTCTCTTCGGGAAACTATCTTCAGGTTAGTCGAAGTCTTGCTGAGTTAACTTCCACACTTCCTACCTCGAATACTAAAGTTCGATTAAAAGCTAGAAATCCATGTTCGTTTTTTTTGGTCAGTATTACCAACAAAACTCAATCTTACAAAGTACGCAGAGCTTGCGATTTAATTCAATTTCAGTGACTCGACAGGTATCATGTATTCTGGAAGATGTTATGGATGAAAAGAAGTTTAAAACAACCACTTGGAACCGTTATTTAAAAAAGAAAAAGAAAAAGTTGCCTTGTAAGCCAATAGGTCATTACAACTGGTTGAAATAAAAACTCCAAAGAAGAAGAAGAAGAAGAAGAAAAAAAAGAATAAAAAAAGGCACGGTTAAATAGGTGTGCGTGATATTTACTTGCTCAAATTTAAAATTTATTTATGAGGACAACAAAACCATGTAGGAAAGACATTTTCGGGTTCCTTCTCCCTGATTATATACTGATTTGGTCTTTTTCTCTACGTATTTTGCATCGATTGCAGATCCAAGAGGGAAGTAAATTCAAGAGACCGCAGTAGCAGTAGATTTAAATACCTTACCTTGTTTGCGCGAGTGATTGGAACTGAGAGCGATGATCATGAGAGGTTTTGATTCAAAATACTGTCTCAAATGAAATGACATATTTTTAGTGCTAAAATAAGCACTGTTTTAAGAAAAATGTTGTAATAAACAGGAAAGATATTTAACATGGAAGTCTGAGTGTTTCATTTCACCTCACTATCTTTTACTGTATAGACGACGCTCTTTCTTTTGGGCTTGTAGCAGATGGTAGACTTTCTCAAAGTCCTTCGCTTCTCATTTCCGGTTCCGGTAGTAGGCCCAGAGCTCCCGCTTTACAATGGTTTTTCCAACCAAGAACAACAACGTCTGCACAGTAGCTGAACATGCGCAGATCAAGACCAATAGTAGCAGATAGTCTAACCAGATAGTATAAAGCACGGTTTTAGAAAAAAACATGAAATGGGAAGAACCCCAAGGAATTTCACCTTGCTTGTTTACGCTTTACCTTGGTTCCCAGTAAACGTCTGAGTATGTAATAGTCTCACTGTAGTCTACCATCATATTTCAATTTACTTTCTCTCCCAGTTTTTAGCTATTTTCATTGCGACTTTGAGGCCCATGAATGAAAATAAAGCCCTCGATTCTGTAGCCACGCAAGACTTTTTTTAACCCAACATACATACAGAAATACATACATCCATAATCTTTATTAGGCTGCCTTGGCACTCTAGCGCCTCTTGGCTTGACTAACTTTGAGGATACCTCAAAGCTAAAAAATACACGTCTAATAATGATAAACAAAATCAGCATTTTCTAATATGATATTCTCTAGTACTAGTGCCTCACTTGACTTATATAAAAAAGATCTGCTATCTACTTCAAAAAGATTTTAAGTGAAAGCATCAAACTTTTTCTTGTGATTTCAGTTTGTTTAAACTCAGGGCCACAAATCTATAAATATGTCCCCTCAGCTCTTGAATATTTTAAAAAAGGACGTTCAGCATTTGCTGCTATATATTTTTATTATTTTGCTAACTTAAGTATTTTTTAACGCAATAATAACTGTAAATAACCACCATCACGACTCATTATCTTTAAAATAAATTTACAGTTTTTATACATTGTTTCAATGTGGTATTTTAATTTCACCGATTAAATGAGCTTGTTTCGAAAGCCGCCATAGTTTGTTTAATAAATTATTTGCTGACAGGCTGCGTCACTGTCATTTGTCAATTTTTCTTCTAAATTTAATGAATAGCAGCCATATTAATATTTGTGTAAGTGTCAGTCGGCAAGCACCTATAAATTAAGCCCTGTCCATGACTACAAATTTATTTTAAACATTATTTTTCTTCTTGAATATACTCTTGTCAATGTATTTGTTACAGGTCAAATTTCAATTCAGGTTAAAATTTTTCCAACCTAGGTTGATTCACCATTTCTTATGTTTCCTAAACCTAATCATTCATGAATTAGGGTCAAGAGAGGTGGAAATTGAAAATCAACCTATGGTACAAATCTTAACCCGAATTTAATTTTGACCTGTAATATATTCATGAAACTGTAATCGTGTTAGTAGCTCAGCTTAGGCCCCTTCTGCACATATCCGCTTTTATTGGATAGTTTTCAAAGGTTAACTTCCAGTGGAATGGAGCGATTAATCAGTTTATTTTGTACACATGTCGATTTTCCTTTAGATTCTAAAATTCGGTTTAACTGTTGTACCATGTAGGCCTGTTCCAGAAATATTCAAATACTCCTACGAAATAAATCAATTAGAAAATGGGATTCAAGTCTATGAATCCTCACAC